TTGAAAGGAAGGAGGGAGAGAGAGATCGCGTGCACCTGCACGGCGCCGTTCTACAGCTCGTCCTGGTAACCCAGCTTCCTGTCGCACACCATCCTCAGCGCGGTTCGAACTTTTGTAGGCCTGATCTTCGGACGCTCCTGAGTGGACACCGTGAATGCCAGTCCGTTCCTGGAGATGCCCGAGACCCTTCTGTTCTTTCTGAAGTCAACCCGTTTCCGTCAAGACCATCGGACTGGACTACCCATCCCGTCCTCAGAGCCAACCACGCCGAGCTCCAGTTCGATCCCCACTCCCCCGCCGTGCCCACTGGACCCAGCTCTCCACCCTCAATTAGAAATTAGACTTTGGCATCCCTCTGCCACCGATACTCGCCGTTCTACCTGTCGCGTCCTTACCCTCCTGTATGGTTTTCTAGTTCCCGTTTGCATGTCGCGTGTTTCTCCGTCCATTTGTCATCGCGTTTTAGTATTTGTTGTAAGTTCCAGGCCTTTTCAAAAGAGGAGGGATAGTGTTATAAAGTGTGTATTACATTGTGCCGACTTTCGACAACACCGCGCCCCCGCGAATGCGCATCCCTCTGTCTCGGGCGTTGCCATGCTACATTCTTGTTGACCACTCGCCCCCCTGTCCCGGCTCCTACCAAATAAACACCTCTTTTCCCTGATTCCTGATTTATAACAATATAATGGTATGTAGTTAGCAGCATGTATGTTGTCTTCTTTGAGGCAACTTTTCAGTTGTCAGCAAATTAAGAGCGACAAGAAAGAGAAGTTGCTAAAAAAAACTGTCGCCACCTATTGTCACTCATATAATTTCACATGAGGTAGCTTTGAGTTGGCTATGGAACTTGAGTTTAAAATTCTACTGAGAATAGAGCAAATATTATTGCATTTTCGTAACTGCTTTCAAGCTGTAATGATATAAGGTGGGTATGGGTTTCCATTTTTTTCTACAATTCTGAACATGGCCGTACTCTGAACCTCTGAACTCGGCGTAGTTCTGTCACTTCATGGAGGCGCGTCGGGCAGTGAGACCCGTTAGCGAGCGGCGAGCGGGCGTGAGCCGGGCCCGTGAAGCAGGTGAAGGAGAAGGGGCAGGGAGGGAGGATGACGGCATATGACGTGACTGAGGCACATGAGATGAGGTGACGCGTGCGGGACGACACACGGAGAGAGGGAGAGAGAGAGGGAGAGAGAGAGCGAGGGAAAGAGAGAGAGAGAGAGGGGGGGGGAGCAGAATAGAGACAAGGCTCTGCGGGCGGGATAGGCACCCAAGACCCAGGCCGCGTGGAACAAGATGGGAGTCATGACCTACGTCGCCAGAGGGCGGGGTGGGGGTGGGGGTCTGTTCACACTGCGTGACTGGGACTTGTCTCCGGGCCGCTCCGTGTGGGCGGCCGCTGCTGCCGGTGGACGCCGCCGATATCCGCCCGGGAGCACTTACCCGTACTGGTCGATGAGCTGGATCCTCTTGTTGCCGCCGTTGTGCGCCCAGCAGTCGTTGACCACGATGTCGAAGCCATCTGCGGGAGATAGTGTTTAGTGCGGGTGCAGGAGCGGGCCGCGCACGGGCGAGCATGTTGCAGAGTGCTGCCTCTGATAGCCACCGTGAGCGCCCCGCTCTTCTCTGGCTTCGAGAGCCGATAATAGAGACGCACGATAATTGCAGGACGGCCTGAGAGTCAGAAACAGAGTCCCGCTCCTCCCTCACGATGCGTGGGATGCGAACACGTTTCGAACTCAACTTGCTCCCGAACACACACTGCTCGAGCACACTCACCGTACTTGCTCCTCATGTAAATGATGAGGGTGAGGGGGTCGCCGACGCGCACGGGTCCGGTGACGCGGGTGCCGCCGGTCCCGTAGCCGTAGCGGATCTCCATGTAGCACTCGGGCGGCGAGAGCGTGAACACCACCGGGTTGCCCGTGGCCACCTCCACGTCCAGGAAGGGGAAGGTGACGGTCTTCCAGAAGTCGTAACCGTACTCGCACGTCACTTTGAAGTGCTCGTCCCACTCCTCCTCGATCATGGGGTTGTACTGCACGGTCACCGTGTTCCACATGAAGTTTTTCTGGGAACAAGGAAACAGTAAGATCCCACGTTAGAAATGTACTCACAAAAACAGCACTGTGTTTGACTGTCAAATTTGAAACACTCGCAAAGCAAAATATCATAGCTGAAAGTTGTTGTTTGTCTCACCGTGGGGTTCTTTCTGCTGTCCTCGCCCAGGGAGTTTTTGCCCAGCGTGCCGCACCGATTGAGCTGGATGTAGAACTCGTAGTAGTCGCGGCCGGTGCCGTTGATGTAGACGCACTCGGGGTCGTAGGCGTAGCCCGACGAGTAGAGAAGCCCTCCGAACGAGCCATTGAAACCGATGCGGATCTTCATGTAGTCGTCCTGACACTCGGCCTCAATATCTAGATATGCGAGATGGAAAAGAATAAGAGGTGAGTATCAAAGTTAGCGCTGGAGAAACGGTAACAAAATCAACAATTGGGAAGAAAAAAACATAAACTTCTATCGCCTAACAGAGGGTATGCCAAACTTTATTCCAGAATTTAGCTTCTCGGTTGACATGTTACGGGTCGACTAAAGTCAAGGGTCGTGGGAAAACCCTGTTTCAGCACCACCATTGCCACGACGTTGTACGTTTTCCTATTCCTTATTGGCTCGCGGACACCTGCTCATTATCTGAGAGGGGGCAAGGAAGAAAAGGGGCGGGGGGGAGGGTAGGGGGTAGCCCACCAGGATGACGACGCGCCCGGAGGTCAGGAGAGGGCAGCGCCCACCCAAAGCACCGCCGCCCCCTCCGGAGACCGTCGTCGGGGACCCCGCCCTGCCGACACGACTTCACGCCGCGACGGCCCCTGAGTGGCCTGGCCGTGGCGCGGCACGGCGCGCGGGCCCCGGCGCATCGCGTCGTACTGCAGTGACGCAACGAAACGCAAGCAACGGGACCCTCGGGCAGCCAATGACCACCACCGGACAGATAATACCTCGGACATGACCACCGCGCGCCCGGGCCCGCCCGGACCCGCCCGGACCCGCCACGCCACGACGCAACGAAATGCTGCTGCGGATCATCCATGACGACGTCGGGGGCCCGCCCCGCCCCGCCCCTGCCTACCCGCTCCCCACGCTCCAGTAATTTCGGGCAATGACGCCTCCAACACACATTCCGAGGCCATTACTTATAACTTTTGTTTGCGCATCTCCTCCAGCCGCCACCCTCCCCCTCCCGTCTCGGCCTTGCCCCAAGATACAGGTGAAGTCTCGCGTTTCATTCATCATGAGCTCAGGGACTGGCAGTCTCTGTGTAGAGGTTGGTGAGCACTGGGCCTCTGGTAGAACTGCGAGTTTCAGGGTATCGAATAAAAAAATATTTTGAAAAAAAAAAAAACGAAGAGAAAAGACAGATTTGATATCGCGGTTTTGGGAGTGACTCGATGTCCGGCGGGACCCTCTGCGACCTCCTCGAAGTAGACCATGGGCCAGAGGGGGGCGCGCCCAGGGGCAGACAGAGAACTGACAGCTGTGCGAACAGGAGCTGACATCTGACACAGAGGCACAGAGAGAAGGAGACTGACGGAGCTGCGGACAGTCTTGTCAGGTGGTACCGTTCTGTGGGCCTCCCTGCATTTCCGGCGCAGACCGAGACGGCGCGCGGAGGGAAGGGGGGAAGTGGGGGGAGGGGGGGAGAGGCAGCGGCTTCTGTCGCGTGCCGACAAGAAGGGCCCAGGGTGCGGCCGCGGCTGCAGGCGCGACACACGCCGCGAGCACCGCGCGGGACACCCGCGGACAACTCGTTTTATCTCCAATTACGAATCGGTTTATGGCGTCATGAATTCCCACCACCAGCAGGATGCACGCAGCGACGACAGACCGTTTTTTTGTTTTAGTTGTTGTTGTTTTGTTTTTTTTGCCTCGTGTCGCCTTTTCTGCACCTGTAAAGCGACGTGGCCAGCGCAGCAGCCACCGTTGTTCTATCGTGCCAACTGGGAATGTTCTCCGGCGGCTATGACACATTTCTGGTCGCGCGGGGGCCGGGCGGGGTCCAGCCCAGCCCAGCCCCGGCACCAGGGCCGTGACATTGGGACCGCGAGCTGCTTGGGGGGCTCCGGGGGGCGTACCGGAGCACGGCGCGGCGCTGCGCTGGGCGTGGCGGGCTCGTGGCGCGAGGAGTGGGAGGGGACGTGGTGGAGCGTGGCGGGTGGACCGGCGCCGGCCTACTTGTTCACGAACATGATGAGCAGCAGCGGCAGCAGCGCGCCTGGCGGGGCGTGGCGCGTGGCGCGGCGCGGCGGGAAAAAGGTAAGGAACTGGCGAGGAGGCGGGGAATTGCCAATTTGTCCACTGTTTATGGAGACAGTTCCGGCGCGGGGCGCTGAGCGCTGCTAGACGGATGGGCGGGGCGGGG